ATCCTCCCCCCCCGCCTCTGCCTCCCCGCCGGTGCCGGGGGATTAGGGGCCGCCTGGCGCTGCCGGCCCCGGCCCCGCCGTTCCGCGGCTCCGCCGAGCCAAGGAGGCCCCGATCAGACAGCCCGAGCGGCAGATAGCAGGGAGACTGGCGCCAGACGGCCCCTTTTGTTTATCTGACAGCTAAATATCAAGGCAATCACCGCCTCGCTGCCCTGCCTCCAACCCCCAGAGCTAAGACAAACAGTTTTGCTAAAAGAATGCCACTGTTATCATAAGTTCCTATCTTTTTTTTTTTTCCTTTCTTTTTTCTTCCTTTTTTCTTTTTTTTTTCCTTTCTTTATTTTTTGTCCTCTCTTTTTTTTCTTTCATTTTTTTTCCTTTCTTTTCTTTTTCTTCCTTTCTTCCTTTCTTTTTTTCTTCCTTTCTTTTTTTCTTCCTTTCTTTTTTTCTTCCTTTCTTTTTTTCTTCCTTTCTTTTTTTCTTCCTTTCTTTTTTTCTTCCTTTCTTTTTTTCTTCCTTTCTTTTTTTCTTCCTTTCTTTTTTTCTTCCTTTCTTTTCCTTTCTTTTCCATTTCTCTTTTTTCCTCTCCCCCCTTCCTTCTCCCCCCTTCCTTCTCCCCCCTTCCTTCTCCCCCCTTCCTTCTCCCCCCTTCCTTCTCCCCCCTTCCTTCTCCCCCCTTCCTTCTCCCCCCTTCCTTCTCCCCCCTTCTTTTTTTTTCCCCTTCCTTTTCTTTTCTTTCTTTTTTTTTTCTTCTTTCCCATTTCTCATGGCTCTGCCTTTATTTTTCCTCTCTCCTTTTCCAATTCCAGAGTCTCCCCCTCCGCCCTACTCCAGATACCCGATGGATTTTCTCAAACCAACTGGTAAGTGGACTTTTGCAGTGCAGACTGCAGATTTTTATTTATTTATTTATCTATGTATCTTTAAAAAAAACCCAACCTTTCTCAGGGGAAACATCTCCTGCCTTTGTCACGCCGGGATGCATTTTGCTTTTTGGGGCTGTTTGCGTGTTTCTTGTGCCTTCTGATCCCCCCCCGGGTGAATTAAGATGTCATTTATCTGAGCCTGCAGAAAGTAGGGTTTGAAAAGTCTGGCAGGAAACTCTTTGGAGGGGTGCAGGCTTTTGCTGCTCTGTTCCCTTGGAAAGCCAGGAAAACCAGGCTTGGAAACGCTCCTCCCCGCCCCTTCTCCACCCCCCCTGGGTGAATTTGGAGGGATTTAAGGTTGGGATCCAGCCTCTCCCTTGATGGCTGGGAATCCCAGCGAGCAAATGGGAGTTGGGAGCAAAACCTTGCTGTGTTTTAAAGGAGCCTGATCCCGCCTCGTCAGGTCGAAAAAACTTAGGGAAAGGGGGTTGAAAAGTTATTTCTTTTTTTTTTTTTATTTGTTGTTTTAGCATGGCTCTGTCTGCCTGTTGCTTGTAATTGAATGTCAGGGTGCCAGGGGAGAAGCCCATTTGAGGCTGGCACCAGTTCTTTTGCGGTTGTCTGCATAAACTCTGGGTTGGCAGGGAGCTCGCCGGGTGGGAGATAAATTGGGCTGGAAGAGGGAGGATGAAGCTCAGGGAGGAGGAGAAGCTCCCAGCTCCCCCAGAAGGATTTTGAGGATGGGGATTTAGGGATGGGGAGTATTGGTGTCTGTGGTGGCATCCCTTGGTCACAGCAAGGAGGGAGGCAAAGTGATTCTGAAGGCTGATACTAAATCCTCTTTTTTTTTTTTTAATTTTTTTTTTGTAATTATTACTATTTTTTGGCCCAGAAGAGCTGTCAAATTGCAGCCTTTCAGCTCTCCCTTGATGGCTGGGAATCCCAGCGAGCAAATGGGAGTTGGGAGCAAAACCTTGCTGTGTTTTAAAGGAGCCTGATCCCGCCTCGTCAGGTCGAAAAAACTTAGGGAAAGGGGGTTGAAAAGTTATTTCTTTTTTTTTTTTTATTTGTTGTTTTAGCATGGCTCTGTCTGCCTGTTGCTTGTAATTGAATGTCAGGGTGCCAGGGGAGAAGCCCATTTGAGGCTGGCACCAGTTCTTTTGCGGTTGTCTGCATAAACTCTGGGTTGGCAGGGAGCTCGCCGGGTGGGAGATAAATTGGGCTGGAAGAGGGAGGAGAGGTGGGGAGAATCGGAAACGGGGGG